AGCACGCGGGAGGCTGAGGCAGGAAGATCCTTGCGAGATCGACGCCAGCCTGGGCTACAAAGTGAGCTCAAGGCCAGCCTGAACTGCATAGGGAGACCCTGTCTCAAAAAGAAAAAAAAAAAATAATTAATACGTGAGCTATAGGAGTTGTGCAACAACATGTCCTGGGTGTATTTCTATAATCCTACATAGAGACGCACCCTTTTAACCGGGCCACGGTATTGACTTCATTTTCCCTTTGTATCAGTGGAACTTGTCTTGAAGCTTCTCACAAGTTCCCTTGTTCCTCTGCACCTGTCTTTACCCCACCCTGGCCAGGCGTTAGGAAGAAGGATCTGGCCCAGCTGGAGGGTGATCTGAGGTCTCTCACCTGGGGTGGCCAGGTTGCTCCTGAGCAGGGATCCTGCTGGAGGCCAAGGGCAAGCCAGCCTGGAGCGGGAGGAGGCAACCAGACCCTCGGAAGGTGCACAGCCACCCTGCAGCCCCCACCGACGGGCCCCAGCCCTGGGCCTGGAATGGCAGCGGCACCCCGGAAGTCAGAAACTCCCCGGCCTCCGAGACTGCGCAGCTCAGCACAGAGCTGCCGCCTGTGGGTTCACACAGCTGGCCGCGGCCCGGATGCCTGTGAAGAGGACTGGAGGCCTAGGAGATAGATGTGGGAGACCCGGAGCTGGGGAAGCCAGACTTTGTCAGGAGGAGGAGGAGGTGGGGAGCAGAGGAGCCGCAGGCTGCAGCCAGCTGGCCGAGGGAACCTCTCTGCTCCAGAGCCACCGCCTGCCTGGCCCGGGGGAGCCTGGCTGGGGCGGGGGACCTGCCGTTGGAGCACGCTTACTGTTACTCATCCGCTCCTGACAGTGTAATAGTAGGTGTTATCTGTTGAACACTCACACATGTTGCACTCTGTGTACTTTGACACCCGTGCTAAGTGTTCTGTACGTGTGTGTAACAAACCCAGGCCCTCACACTCGACCCCTGAGCCACACTCTCAGCCCCCTCGCACACATTTAAACCTCCCACTCTGACACCAGCTTTACGTTATCCATGGAGTAGTGAGCAGGGAGCACGAGGTCCCAGAGCTGGTAAAGGGCAGGGCCATGCCGGAGCCTGGGGTGACTTGCTGCTAAGGTTCATATCTTTTTTTTTGGTACCAGGAATTGAACTCAGGACCTCATACTTGCCAGGCAGGTACTGGTGCTACTGAGCGAATCACCAAGCCTTAAGGTTCATATCTTTTTGTTTGTTTGTTTGTTTTCCTGGTACCGAGAATCAAACTCACGACCTCACGCTTGCCAGGCAGGCACTGTGCCGCTGAGCTAAATCCCCAGCCCCCAAGGTTCATATATTAACCACTAGTCTTTTATCTTTTTTTTTTTTTTTTTTTTGGCTTTTTGAGACAAGGTCTCGCTATGCAGTTCAGGCTGGCCTTGAGCTTACTTTGTAGCACAGGTTAGTCTCAAACTCATGGTGATCCTCCTGCCTCAGCCTCCTGAGTGCATGAGCCACCACACCCAGTTTGTGTTTATCTTTTGACCGTATCTTCTCTCTGCCCTCCTGCTCTGATCAGAACAGTGATCCTTACTGGGGGCTGGGGATTGAATGCGGCCCTGTATACTCTACATGTGCTCTGTTGAGCTCACCCAGCAGCCAGTGCTGGGCCAGGAGAGGAAGCGAGGGTAGTCCCTTCCAGGACCTGCTGGACTCCCCTGGAATTTAGAAGACCCCAGGACAAGCCCTTGAGCCTTGGCCCCACCCCCTCCTGGGCCCAGGCTGGATCCTGACATCACATAGCAAAAGGTGTTTTTGGCAGAGCCCGGGCCACATTTACAAGAGCAACTTTGAGACCATGTGACTGGGAAGGCCAACCAACCCGGCCCCCGCCCAGCCTCACTGAGAACACCCCTGTCTCTCCGCATCCGGGGCTGACTCACAGCTGCTGTGGGGACCCCGTGCCAGATGCCTCCGTCTGCTCCTCGGCTGCCTGGGAAACAGTGCCTGGAACTCTGCTGCCCCGAGCCCACCTCCT